AACCTTTTGGTGCATGGGATGACGCCCAGCCAACTGGGCTATGGCATCAGCCAGGGCACTATCCCCATTTCATCGGCCAGGTTCCGAGCAGTTAAGATACTTGCCTGAGGTCACATAACTATAAATTGGAGGTGCCAGGATTTGAATCCTAGACCTAGCTTCCTTCCAGCCACTTACAGAACTACATGGCCAAGTGTGTGTATATAGCATGACCTCATGAGCTACGCATTAATGGCCAGGATCCCCTGGTCTCATGCGCCTTCAAGGATGTGCCCACGTGTCCCTGTCACTCTAGACAGCCTCCCAGGTGCCTCCTGAATTCACTCTCGGCTTCTTTCCCCCTGCCTATCTGGTTTGGCCTCTGGCAGGGAAGAGTCCTGGGCATGCCTGGCTACAAACTGGTTTTTGGACTGAGTCAGGGAATGCTGGGAAGGACCAGAGTTGTAGCAACAATGAGGGATCTGTCCAGCAACTGGGTGTGAGGTGGCATGGGCAGTGGGTCATGTGTCAGTCTGGGGCCTCCCTAATACAAGCGCTGCCAAAAATAGGGAGCCCTCCCCAACCAAAGCAACTTGGGGCTGGTTGGTATGAGCCTCTGCCGCCCTCTGGTGGTCAGATCTGGGCAGTGTGTGTGAGCAGCTGATGATGGCCTGTCCTGTACCCTGCAGCACTATACCTCAGATGCAGATGGACTCTGCACTCGGCTCATCAAGCCAAAGGTCATGGAGGGCACAGTGGCAGCCCAGGATGAGTTCTTCCGCAGTGAGTGCCACCCCCATCCCCAGTCCTCACTTGCCTACTCGCCTCCTGCTACCCAGGCTTCTTGGCACTTCCCATCCCAGGTGCTCTGGGGACTTCCAGGGAACCCCACACACTATAGTCGGCCTCTGTCTCTCCTGCTGTGAACTCTCTTCGAGCCTCAACACCCCTCACTGGACCCCTTTCCTTCTATCAGGTGGCTGGGCGCTGAATATGAAGGACCTAAAGCTGCTGCAGACCATTGGGAAGGGGGAGTTTGGAGGTGAGCAGGAGGAGCTGGGAGCCCTTCGAGGGGCCAAGGGACTGAGGGGAGTCCGGGAATAACCCCAAACACTCCACACAGACGTGATGCTGGGCGATTACCGAGGGAACAAAGTTGCTGTCAAATGCATTAAGAACGATGCCACTGCCCAGGCCTTCCTGGCTGAAGCCTCGGTCATGACGTGAGTTGGGTAGGGTGTATGGGAGGCTGTCCCTCACGGTGAGAGGTGGGGGTGAGATGGCTTGGCAGGCTCTGATCACTTCATCCTGCCCCAGGCAACTTCGGCATAGCAACCTGGTACAGCTTCTGGGCGTGATTGTGGAAGAGAAGGGCGGACTCTACATCGTCACCGAGTACATGGCCAAGGTGTGCACCAGCCCCAAGAGTCACCCTGTGCTGGAGCTGAATACTTGGCCTTTCCAACTGCCGCAAGCCCCTCTCTGTACCATGGGGCTCTGCTCTCAGTCCCCTCCTTCCAACTGAGCTTTGAAGCCCCCACAGCTCAGCTTTTGTCCTGGCTCATCATTTTATTCACTTCAACGTTGGACAAATTGTATCGCCTCTAAGCCTCTGTTTCCTCATCTGTGAAACGGAGATACTAAGTTCACCTCACAGTGATGAGAATTAAAAGAGAATGCTGAGCAGTGTCCAGCTGTAGAACCTAATATTCAAGTCACCTCCTCCCATGTTCCTCTCCTAACACCTCCCTTGGTGTCACCTTTCACCCAGCCTCAGGCTCACTGTTCCCAGAGCTAGAGGCAAGTCTAACCCATGGGGCCATGGTCTGTCTCTCCTGTCCCAGGGGAGCTTGGTGGACTATCTTCGGTCACGGGGTCGGTCGGTGCTGGGCGGAGACTGTCTCCTCAAGTTCTCACTGTGAGTGAAGCAGCCCCTGGGGGAGGGGCCCACCCTGCTGGGGGAGGCCTATCTGAGGGGACACGTGGCTGCCTCGCCCCTAGAGACGTGTGTGAGGCTATGGAATACCTGGAAGGCAACAACTTTGTGCACCGGGACCTGGCCGCCCGAAATGTGCTGGTGTCTGAGGACAACGTGGCCAAGGTCAGTGACTTCGGCCTCACCAAGGAGGCCTCCAGCACCCAGGACACCGGCAAGCTGCCAGTCAAGTGGACAGCCCCTGAAGCCCTGCGAGAGAAGGTGGGTGGGCCTCCCCCTGTATCCTGAGCAGTGAGGACAGGGATCCTGGGTCACCCTACCCCCAAATTCCCAGGACCTGACACAGCTTTTCCCATCCACGTGGCAGAAATTCTCCACCAAGTCTGATGTGTGGAGTTTCGGAATTCTTCTCTGGGAAATCTACTCCTTTGGGCGAGTGCCTTATCCAAGAATTGTGAGTGTGGGCACTGGGGTGGGACAGGCTGGGGTACAAGGTGTGGGGCCTCCCTGGGCCTGGGTGTGGGCAGAGCAAAAGGGGACCCCTGGAGAGGGGTGCTGAGTAGGGATCCCCTCCAAGGGTTAGGCCCTTCACAGATTCATGCCACCCGTCTGCCCTCAGCCCCTGAAGGACGTCGTCCCTCGGGTGGAGAAGGGCTACAAGATGGATGCCCCTGACGGCTGCCCGGCGGCAGTCTACGAGGTGATGAAGAACTGCTGGCAGCTGGACGCCGCCACACGGCCCTCCTTCCTGCAGCTCCGAGAGCAGCTCGAGCGCATCAAAACCCATGAGCTGCACCTGTGACATCTGGGCTCGCACAGGTCATGGGCCTCTGGGGACTCAACCTGGGGACTGGACCTCGTGCCCCTACTTGCTGGGCCTGAGCCTGAACTGAGCCCAAGTGGACCTCTTTCCTCTGTCCCAGCCTGTGCCCCCCTGTCCCCCTCAGGGACCTTGCCTAGGCCCGGCACCTCTCATGGACCCACTGTGGGATTTGGGGGATTCCGCTGACGGCCAAGAAGAGGAGGGTGAGGAGCAGGAGGCAGATGCCCACCGTGGTCAAGCTTCCCTGGCCTCCCACCTCTCACTGTCCTAGAGTTTTATTCCTTTACTTTTTTGAGGTTCTTTTCCATGTGCTTATTTTTTATTATTTTTCACAATAAGGAGAAAGAAAGTACCCAGGAAATGGGCATTTTACAAGAAGTACGAATCTTATTTTTCCTGTCCTGCCTAGGGTTGGGAAAACAGGCCCCTCTCTCCAGGGACCCATCGCCCCAGCCTTGTTCCCGTTCTGTGTCGCCTCGGTCGCCCTGTGTTTGCGCTTGACCATGTTGCACTGTTTGCATGCGCCCGAGGCGGACGTCTGTCAGGGGCTTGGAGTTCGTGTGTGCTGCTGCCGCCTGCCTTGTGAGATAGAATTGTAATAAACCACTCCATGAGGACACCACTGCCCAGCCTCGGCGCTTCCTCCCTGAGCCTGCCTGCCCCCATCTCCTATCCCCATGCCATCTCGTCCATCCCTCTGTCTCTGTGAGTGGGGCTGTGCTTGCCCTGTGAGTGGAGGGGTGGGGAGCACGGCCGGAAGCAGTGGCCGCCGCTTTGTGTAAGCTGCACCCGTGAGTGTCCTGTGTCTGCCGTGGGAGCTCTCACCACTGCCCTCCCCCCCATTCTGCTATAGCCCCAGGCTGGGCCCTGGGACCATCTGGGCTCTGGGGCCCTGTCCTCAGAGTAATGCCTGGTGTACTGGCTGTCTCTCCTGCTGTGTTCAAGCCATCAGCACACAGAAGGCTGGAGCCAAGCATGGGGGTGGGGGTGGGGGTGGGTGGTGCGAGCCTGACCAGCTACAGATGGGGTCTCCCTGGTGGGAGGCAAAGAAAATCAGAGGAGCTGTTGACCCTGGAGGGGGAGGGGAGGGAGGCTCTGAGCTGCTGGTGGTTCTTCCGGTTCACCTGAGATGTAAGCACTGCCCAGCCCCAGGCCTGAGTATGCGAATGTGAGCGCCTGTAGGGGACACAGGTGGGGAATGAGGACCAGCCAGGACATGGTCTTCCTCTCAGGTTCCCAGAGCAATAGTACAGAACCTCTGAGGGACAGGGCCGGCTCACTTCACCCACTGACACAGGCAGGGGGTGTCCTTGTCCAATTGGGTTTCTGACCCTTCCTGTTCCAGTCACCAGGGCCTGACACCAGGCTGTTCTTTTTTTCTTTTTCTAAAGTTTATTTTAGAGAGGGAAGAGGGACAGAGAAAGAAACATCAGAGGGAGAGAGAAACATCAGTCAGCTGCCTCTCGTAAGGGCCCTGACCACAGCCCAAACCTAAAACCTCTGACGGGAATGGAAGCTGACGCCTTCTAGTGCAGGGTAGTTACTACCTCTAACCACTGAGCAACGCCTGCCAGAGCTCCGGGCAGGTGACTGCAATGTGCCTGTGCCTGCACTGCCACCCAGCCAGCGTCATCTCCCGCCCCGGCCCAGCACAGCAGCCTCCTTGCCTCCACCAGTCTATCTCATTTTTATTTTATTTATTTTTTTTAATATATTTTATTGATTTCTTTTTTTTTTTACAGAGAGGAAGTGAGAGGGTTAGAAAGCCAGAAATGTCGATGAGAGAGAAACATCAATCAGCCGCCTCTTGCACACCCCCTACCAGGGATGTGCCCTTAACCAAGGTACATGCCCTTGACCGGAATCGAACCTGGGACCTTTCAGTCTGCAGGCCGACGCTCTATCCACAGAGCCAGACAGGTTTCAGCTATCCTCTCATTTTTCTAAAACTAGACCATTCAACCACAAATATTTGAAAGCCTGTTGTGTGTTAGAGCTGGAGTTCAGCAGTGAGCTAAGACCCTGTGGAGTTCAGTTAGGAAAACAGCCACAGACAGATACCGTTCTGGCCAGTGGGCTTAGTGGTTAGAGCATCAGCCCATATGCCAAAGGGTTGAAGGGCATGCACCTGGTTTATAGGTTCGATCCTGGCCTGGTCAGGGTGTGTGCAGGCACCGACCAGTCAATGTGTTTCTCACATTGATGTTTATTTCTCTATATTTTCTACCTTCTCCCTTACACTCTCTAAAAATCAATGGGAAAAGTATCCTCAGATGAGGATTAACAGCAAAAACAAAGTTAAATTACAAAACTGATGAGTGCTATGAAAGAAACAAATAGTGATGGAAGGGCTGAGTGCAATGGGCCCGCCAGGGGAGGGACTGTCCTGGAGAGGGAGTCACGAAGCGGGGGCAAGAGTGGGTGGGGAGCTCTGATTATAGCGGTTGCTATCATGATCTAGGGGATTTTGACAATGGGCTTTGACTAGCTGCTCCAACCCAGCTTGGTTCAGAAATGAAATGGTGCTAGTCATAAGAGGGGCCAGGCAGGCACCCTAACACAATTGGGAGTAAGAGAAAGGGTCCAGCTGATGGGCCCTGAGGGGATGCAGGCTCAGGTAGCCAGATGTTCCTGTTCTTTCTACCTGTTGGCATGTGAGCTTCCTTTATTCTCCTCTTCCCCTCACTTCCTTTATAGGTTTTTTTTCCTCCTTTCTTTTCTCTCATTCTTTTCTGCTCTGTGCTGGCCATTGGCTCATCATAGATGAGCAAGACATACTTCTCTCCCTCCAGGATCTTATGGACTGGTAGGGACCTCACTCAAGACTCAGTTTTGTGCCCAGAATCTGGTAGGGGTTTCCAACAGCCCACAACAAGCCCGTGAGACAGAGGAGCGGGTAGGCGGGGAGTAGCTTCTCCGACACTTCGAGGACAAGCAGGGACCGAGAGCAAGAGTGTCTGGTAAAGACAGTGCATGGCCTAGCAAAGGTGGGGAGGTGCTCAGGTGTGTCTTGGGCAAAGGTGCCCCGGGTGCGGTTTGGGAGCACCTGGTTTTGCAGGCCCCACAGGAGTTTAGCTTTATGCAGAGATGACCAGGACCAATGCAGGATTTAGGACAGAGGAATGACATGGTCAGATCTTAGTTTAGAAACATCCTTCTGACTACCATCTGGCCTTGGGGAGACAAGTGGGGAGGTTGCAGTCAGCCAGGCAGGTGATTGGTGGTGTCCTGGGCTGGGGGAGTCAGCAGGAGGTGGAGAGGAAGAGGAACACAGCTGATGTTTCACTCACCTGAGCATTCGCTGTCTGCCAGGCCCTGTTCTAAGCACAATAGGTAGGTGTGACCCTCATGTAACCTCCAAACAACTCTTGGAGATACTATTATTACCTTCATTTTACAAGTAAGGAGTGGGAGAGGGGAAGAGCTTGCTGATGGGTGAGAGAGGAGGAAACAAGGGATCTGGGGGTTCCAGTCTCTGGCTCCATAAGGTCAGAGTGCCACCCATGAGACCCCAGCCACAGAAGAGGATGGCTGAGGGGTGGGGAAGAGGAATTTGGTTTGGACATGTCGCCTGGGGCCATCCAAGCAGAGTTGTTCCCTGCAGAGTTGGACATTTATTCGGGTTTGAGACTCCTGGAGAAGATGAGCTGAAAGTGGAGATTTGAGGATCATGGCACAGCTGTAGTGCTTGAAGCCATAGGCATGGACAAGCTCGCCAGGGAGCATGTGATGAGTGAGGAGAGATGCCCGGTGGAAGGGCTGATGAGGCAAAGCAGTGGCAAAGGAGCACCAGGGCAGCCAGGAATCTGGGGGCGGGAGGGAGGGGGGGAGCAGAGAGCCTTGGGCAGGGCTGGGCATGGGCGATGGATACCCATAACATTTCACTGCAGAGACTAGGTTAAGGAGTATCCACTAAGCACAGAGAACAGGCCTGCTGGAGCAGTTTTTACCCAATGGGTGACAGGGGCAGCAGCTGGGAAGATCAATGGGAGGTGAAGAAGCAGGACCCGGGTGGGCCCGAGCTTTCCACAGCTTGACTGTGAGGTGCAGGAGAAATCTGAGTGAAGGTAGCTGAGGATTCAGTGTGAGAAATGAAGTGTGGCTTTTAGCATGTCCTAAATTTTCCCATTTACAGCCTTGATTTTAATTAATCTACAGAGCTTCAGTAACTGAATCCTACCAAGAACTTACTACCATAAACCTCAGCTATCCAGAATTTTCAGAAAGAGAGCCACTCTGGAAAACCAACGTTTATCTGGATAAAAATACTTGACTTACAGGATTACTTACTTTTTTAAATGTGCTCATTATGGAAATTATCAAACATAAAAGTCAAGGGAAGAATATAATGAACCCACCATCCAACCTGAAGAGTTATCAATTCAAGGTCACATGCTCTGCCATCCACATACCCCAAGGTCAAATGCTGTGCCATCCACACACCCCACATCTGGGGTATTTAAAAGCAGATCCTAGACACTATATCGATTCCTCCAGAAAGCTTTAATACATTTCTCCAAAAGAAGACTTTTAAAAATATAACCACAATACTTTTATTACTCCAAAAAATTAATAATTTTTTAATTCAGTATCCATTGTCCAAATCTCCCCAATTGTCTCACTCCCCCCACGCCCTTGTTAGTTGGTTAAAATTAGGCTTCGAACAAGGTTTACATACTGCATTTGTCTCTATTTTCATGTAATTTATTTGTTGAGAATAAATAAACTCATGCCTAGAGGCATGAGTCTTTGGGAATCTGGTAGAGCTGAGCATGGCAATGAAGAGGGAAGGATGGGGGATGCTGGCCACACAGACAGGACATCCACTTGCGGGACAGAGACAGCAGGCAGCATGTGGGAACCCTTCCTGAGCCAAGGGGAGAGGCTAGGGCTACTAAGAGGTGGGCTTGTCCCTGTGATCTCTAAGGTCCCTCAGGTGGGGCAGCTGAGGGAAGGTAGGAAGATGGCCTGAACCTAGGAGCAGGGGCAGAGCTCAGGCTGGCCAAGTGAGGAGGGGCAGACCTGAGATCAAGCCCAGAAGGAACAGAATGTCTGTGAGGGGCGGGAGGGAGAATGGAGAGCCAAAAGCCAGTACCCAGTTTCTTCCCACCTGGCCTCCCAGGTAGGGATCCACCCTGGGCCCAGATCAGTGCCCCTGACCCCTGGCTCTGTCTTCTCTTCCTCCTGGGTGCCATCCTCCTCAGTGAAAGTTTGAGTATGATCTCAGCTTCCAAGGACCAAGGTTAGCATTGCCTGGATCTGGGATACCATTCTGGAGCCATCATGGAGCGAGGGATGTGATGGGGACTGAAGCAGCTGACCACTAGGAGTGGCTGTGACTTGGTGAGGAGTGGGTCTGCCAATACCAGCCTCTGCCCAAGATGGGTCCAGGGACCCAAGACCCCTCCCAGACTCGCCTCCTGTTCTACCCACCACATCAAAGCCCTATCCACCAGCCTCAGTTTCTCCTCTCTGCCTCTTTCCTTCTCTGCCCTAGGGTTTCTCTCTCCTTCTGCCTTTTTTTTGGAGGACCCTCCCTCTTAGACCCATGAACACACACACACACACACACACACACACACACACACACACACACACGGCAACTTAGATCAGCACAAACCTCTACTCAGCTCCACGCTGTTGGGCCTATGACCATCCAGGAGAACCAGGGGGCTGCCTGGAGGAGGGCTCTTCATGGCTGGCTGTTTTGCCAGAGGGACACCAGTATGAGAACATCTTACCCACAAATCTGTTCAGAACCTCCAAACCCAGAACTACAAAAAGTATGTCTTCTACCTAATGTTCAATACGATTTTGGAGGACTTACAGGGACCTATGCAATAGGCAGGAGTTTTAACTAGGAGTGAGCAAGAAGAATGAGGCTTGTGGTTGGGGCTGAGACATAAAATGAGTTCAGGAAGATGGCTTGTTACCAAAACATAGGTCTGCCCAGGTTATACCAAGATCTGCATACCCTTCAGAGTTGGGCCATGAATCTGGTTTAGCGCTTCCTAGCAGGCAAAGCAAACAGAAGATCCATTGTGTATTTCTGTCTATGTGATGTAAGTTCTGAAAAACGGCACTGTTCCTGAGACCAGAACAAATTCCCTTTAAGATGACAGCTTCTATCTCAGAGTCTTGGCTCCTGCTCACAGAAGCACCGAGAGGCAAACAAAGGAGTGGCTGTTTCTCACAGCACCAAGCCAGGCACTGCCTCAGGGCCAGGGTAGCAGGGCCGATAACACACTCACCGCTGTGGGCCTTGCTAAGTTTGGGGTGTCACAGACCACGTGGGAAACAAATTTCCCAGGGTATGCACATTGTCCATTTATTCATTCATTGATCTTTTTATTGACTCCCTCCCCATGTCCCTCTGTGCCCAGCTCCAAGACAAAGGGCTGCATCAGATACAAGGAGTTCACAGTTCCATGAACAACCCACAGAAGGCACAAGGCATGAGTGTAGTCACAGTGAGTCAACTCTTGCCTCCTGCAAGTCACTTCAGAAGCAGTGGTGGCTTCCAAGGCCCCCAGGATTTCTGGCCTTGCAGCCTCTGAGCTTCCCTGCCTCCAGCCGGGCCTTTGCCAAGCTAAGAGGCTGGAATAACATCTCTAGAAAGTCCTGGCTGAGACTGGGACCTGGGCCTGGTTCTAGTTTAGCAGGATGGAAGGGTGGAGAGGCAGCTGGGGTGGGGTCTCTGACCTCCCTTTCCCTGGTTCTGGCCAATCCTGTCTGTTTCTCTCCCTTCCATTTTACAAAATAGGGCTCCTTCATCCCCCTCACCTCCACCAGTGATAATTCTCACATACATACACTCCATCCTTCCCCCTTCCTTCTCAATCTTGCAGGCTCATTCTACCTTTGCTTTCATCTTTCTTTCACCTTCTATTGCTCCCCCTTAGACTCCCCCACGTGGCTAATTCTCTCAAAGTGCTCTCATATGTTCCATGGTCACAGCCATGCCCTTTCCCTCACAGGGCCTTAGTTTCCTCATCTGAGTAACAGAAAGGGTTAGACACAAAGCTCTCTCCTGGTGGAAAAGGCTAGTATTTTGGAGTTAGATGGAGCCAAGTTCCAATCCACTTAATTCCTTAACTTTTCTGAGCCTCGGTTTTCTCATCCGTAAAATCTGTTAAAGACAGACTGCACAGACTTGTGGTGAGCTCAGTGAGAAGGCAGGCAAAGTGCTCTACATGGTCTGGCATGTGTTGCCCTTCCCCGTGCTAGGCTCCAATGCCCACTTCTTCAGTGGATTCCTGTGTCTGACCAGCCAGCCTGGTATTTAATGGCAAGCCTTGATGTTACCTGCTTCCTTCTCCCAGAGCCCAGCCTGGCCAATGAGAAAGAATAACGGGGAGAAAGGGAAGTGGGACCCAGGCCCTGATTTGCCCTGGCGCACAGATAACATCCAGAGGAAGTGCGCTGGCCCCATCCGTGTGGAGCTGAAGCGGAGCAGTGTAGAGCAGGGCCCTGTCCTCTAATCTGGCTGGCAGGTGGACATGCAGATGAGGGTGACTGGGCCAGGGCCAGGGCACCAGGCCCAGGTCATGGTGAGTGGCCCCAGCAGAAAGGGTGAGTCAGGGAGGTGGGTGGTGAGCCCTCGGTTGAGAAGTTGAGCAGCTGGGGACCCACAGACTGTGTGGTACACCCAGGGGCCAAGAGCAGGGCCAAGACAGCTCTGTCCTGGGGGAGCCTGCCTTGAGGAATGACATTGGGATCCTCTTGGACTCCTCATCCCAGGATACCCAGGTGAGTAATGACTTCTGTCTGCACACCCACACCCTCCTCCTGTGTCCATGGTCAGCGCATGGATAGCCCTGTCATCCATGCGCTGACCAGTGAAGAGCACATCCCCTGAAAGCTCGTCTGGACTGACACCTACTCCCATTCCTGGGCTGCATCCACACTGCCCACTCGTGCCCCTGCCCCAGCCTCTGACAAGGAGCCTACCCCTCCTAGGGCTATGTTTTCCTTGCCTATCTGAGCTGATAGCTCAAAGGTAGTGCCTCCCTGGGACTCCCTCCCACTCAAGTCCCAGCTGTGCCTCCTCTGGGCCCAGGAGCAGAGTCTGCTTGTTCCTCCTGGGAACTACCACAGAGAATCCCCTGTTCATTCAACCCAGCAGCTCCAGACCAGCGGGGGTAGTGACATGATCAGGTGAGGCCTGCGCTGTTTTTTCTCATGTCATCTCATCTGATACACAACATACTTGAGAAGTGGGGATTGTTAGTCCCCAATTACAGGTGAATATATTGAGGCCCAGAGAGGTGAAGTGACTTGCCTGAGGTTACATAGCTGTGTACTGACCTGAGATTTGAGGCCAGAATTGCCTATGGATGGTCCACACCCTCTGCCTGTGCCAGCTGCCTATCACCGCCCTTCCCTTTCTCCAGATGATGTGGCTTCCCCTCCCTCTCCAGCCCACTGCCTCCTCAGTAGCTGGGCCAGTTCACCAGTGTCTCTCAGCAAACATCCCTTAGCTCGTAACAATTTGAATAATTGCTGACGTTTATGGAGCAGAGCTTACTATATGCCAGGCACAGCACCATTCGTTGTCTTAGTTAACCCTCATACAACGTTATGAGGTAGTTTTGATTACTATTCTCATTTTAAAGGTGAGGAGTGGGAGTTTGGAAAGGTGAGGTAACTTGCTCATGGTCACAGCTAGGAGGCATATGCAGGTGGTTGCTTGGAGCTGGCTTCGCTCTGTGTCACCTTCCTCTGAAGGTGGCAATGACAGGATTGTGCTATGAGCAGCACCTGTGGTCTGTGTGCCCAGAGAAACTCAGGGCCTCTCAGGCTCCACACCCTTTCCTAACTCCCCAGAGCCTGCTGCACAGCCCTGCGGGACAGGCAAGCTGGTCGTATTGTCCTTGTCCATTAGGAGACGCCTCATGTCGTCTGTCCTGAGTCTGTCCTGCTACAGTCCAAGCTTGGCAGAGGGACAGGAAAGAGAGGCCCTACCCAGAGGCGAAGGGGGGCTCAGGGTTTAAGGAAAGAAAAGAGCGAGGAAAGGTGGGAGGAGGTGGTGGGCCTGCAGGATTGAGGGCAAAACTCCCCATTGGGTCCAGCCTCTGTGCCCCTGGAAAAAGTCCCAGAAAGAACTTAGACCTCTTCCGTAAGTTCCAGGTCCCTGTACCCTTCTAAGCAGGGCTTGTCCTCCTGCCTCTCCCTCTTCGGCTAAGGACTAGACTACAGCAAGGGAGACTCAAGCTGGACCACAGGGACAGGTCCCAGCAGGTCATCCAGCTGGGGGGAAGTGGCACTGCTGGCCTGGAAAGAATGGCCTCCAGAACCAACCCACTGTCCAGTCCTTGGGTCCTGTACGGCCCTGCTGGACTCTAAGTCCCCACAGAGAAAGAGCCAGCTGGGTGCTGGGCTCTCGTTACCACGACTTCCGGAACCGACCATGCCCCTTTAAAGCACAGCTCGCCAATGGGAGTAGAGTCTGCCCGTGAGCACACACAGCTTCTTTTGCTTTTGCAGGTCGTACAAACAAGCAGGGTGTGCAGATTACAGGGCTCAGAGCTACAAAGATGCTGTGTAATCTGTTGTTGTGGCCTCAACTAATTTTTGTCTGACACCATGCAGGGCCCCTGGAACATATGAGCAGCACATACATATATGATCCTCCTCCCTACACAGAATCCTAACTGGCCCAAAGCACATACCTGTGAGGACTAACATGAGACCAGGTGTGCAAACCGCTCCCTGAGGCTGCCTGCCCCCCTTTAGGGCCAGGGGACCCAGGCACTCAGATTTGGGGATATTTTTTCCTGTCACGAGCCAAGAGGAGGAAGCCCCATCTGTAAGGTGCTCAACTGCTTCCGTGCCCCTCAGGTGTCCTTGAACACTCCCAGAGGCCTGGATTTGCTCTGCATTGATGTGGGACCCCTGCTGTTGGCTCCTGGAAGTTTCTTTGGGTGTCAGCAGCCACCAGAACCCTGTAGGTGAGACAGAGGAGCGTCCTTATGAGCCACCTGAGCACACATTCAAAGGAGCACTGGGTGTGTTGCCAGCCACTTCCTCACTGTGTGACCTGGGCAAATCACAAGGCCTTGCAGAGTTGTTAAAAGTCTCAAATAGAATAAAACACAAGAAGCTTTAATTCCAGTGTTGGTCCCATAAGTACCCCTTGCTGGGAGCTGTGGGACAAGTGGAAGAGGGACAGGCAGGAGGAGTACTTAGGGAAATGGAGCAAAGGATAAAATGGAGAGTCCATGGAGGGACCCATAGTTGGTGCAACCAGACAGTGGGAGTTCGTGAATGCCAAGACTTCAGTCTTTAGACTCTGGGCATTGGGGAGTCACTGGTCTCCGAGGACAGTGACATAGTCAGAGCCATGTTGAGGAGGTAGCCACCATGTGGTTGCTTTTGTCAGTAGCTCCCTGGGGCCTTTGTGTGTTGTTCAATCTGCTTCCTTGGCTCTAATTTTCCTACTCACTGGGGGCCCAACTCTGGCTGGTGGGGGACATCGACCCTCACAGACCACCCATCTGCATGTCTGACCCTCTTACCTTTCTTATGAAATAAGCCAGGCAAGGGTCAGAGCTGCCTAAGGTCACACAGATCTTTTGCCAGCCTGAAATATAATGAAGCCCGGGAGGTGGGGACTGAGTGAGTAGGCTGTTGGAGGTAGAAGGCTTCCCCTTCCTTCTCTATCCCCTTTTCCAGAGGACCACGACGTCTTGTCCTATCTGACCTTAGTCTGAAAGGTCCAGAGGTGATATCAGCCATGGGCCCACATTGGGGGCAGGACTGGGGGAGAGGCAGCTCAGGAACTCCTTCCCTCCCTAGATGCTTCTGCTCATGTCATGGTGCTAACAGACCTGCCATTCCAAACATTATCTCTTCCTGCTCTCTGAGTTTTGCTCAGGCTGGGCAGTGCTGGGATCAGAGGTGACCTAGAGCCAGGCCTTGTTTTCAAGGACTTTGCAGGCTGGCTGAAGGCTGTGGGGGCACAGAGAAGGGGTCCTAACCAGCCAGTGCAGCCGGAAGGGCTGCAGGCAAGGCTGGCCCTGGGCACCAGGGAAGATAAGATTCCAAAGCTGAATTCCAAAGCCCAGGAAGAGGGGCCCAGGAAGCAGGCAGGTAGGGAAGGGGCCCATTTGAGTATCATAGAATTCTCTCCCCTTCCAATCAGGAGTCTAAACTAATGGGGAGATAGAGGCTATAACTAGCACTCCCTGGGGCCTAGATGCTCTCCCCTATTCCCACTCCACCACCCAGACACATCTTTCCGGGGAGTTTTGGAGGCAGAAGCCATTCCTCTGTCCCCCTCTCCAAAAAGCCCCTATAGATATGATCTGTTGCCCCACCCAGCTGTCTGGCTGTCCCAGCTCTGCACCAATCCCCAGAGGATTGACCTGGAGGAGACACTGAACACACACAAGAAGATCCTGCAGGGTCTCTCTGACCACTTGGCCCAGGCTGAGAGGCAATGGAAGAAGCAGCTGGATCCCTAGGTCAGGCCAGGCCTGAAGGCGGCTGGGTGAGTGGCCCCTGGAACACCCATGCAGGCTAAAGAAGCTGAGCTCCCTAGGCACTGGGCCCACGGCACCAGGGGGCTCCCTGTGTCCTGAAAGAGGAGCAAGCACTATAGCTGGGAACTATTGTCCTTCAAGGTCTGGAGGGAAAGGAGGCCAAAGGTGAAATGCGGCAGGTCCAGGATGGGAAGGACTCGCCAGACAGGGGATTATGCAGGAGGGTAACAGCACAAACAAATGCCCAAGAAGCCACGCAGCTGGGACTGGAGAGAGGAGAAGCCAGGTATTTGGATGTAGGTCCTTAGACAAGTAACAAAAGTAGACTGGGTTCTAATTTGCTTGTATAATAGTTCCATATGTGACTTGATTCACATATGACTTCTGGTACTCAGAAGTACCACAGTCCTCGTTTCATCTCCTCCACTGCCATCCTGGCTTCTCCCCATGGCCTGCCCAGCCTGAAACCTGAGAGTTGAACCAGCCCAGGAGTTAGATCCTGGGCAGAAGAGGCCAGTGCTTCCCATAGGTTTTGCTGGGCTCTGGTAGCTCAAGGTTTGAATCTTGTATCCTCAGGCCAGAGTATCTGAGGCTGGGCTACTGGAGTGACACCATATTCCAAGGCTAGGCTTCTCTATTCCTATTTCCAGGCCCAAGATCCTGCCTGCCAGATTCTATCCACTCCAGAGAGGCAATCTCTCTAGGTCACTCGGCAAGACAGGGGCTCAAGCATTGAGCTTGAGTTGACCGGCACTGGCCACAGTTTGGACTGTGTCCCAGGAGAAGTGGGGGGAGAAGACTGAACTGGGCCTCTGCTCCTTCAGGGGCAGAACCATTTCTAGAAAGTGGAGGGTTATGACAAACCCCGGAAGTGACCACTGTCTGGGGGAAGTGGGGTAGGACCACACTCTGGGAGAGGGTTTTGAGAGGATGGAGAATCCAAGAGCCGAGATAGACAGGGGTCAGATAAATTCAATGTGTCCATAATGAGGGGGTCGGGTAATCTGGTAAGGCCTCTAGAAGCAAGAGGGCTGCAGTGCCCCAGAAAGGTGGACTCTCAGAGCAGAGGGGTTGTGTCCTGGCCCCTAGAAAAGAGGCTTGCTTTCCTGCAGGACTCTGCCAGGGTCAGCACCCTGTTTTGTGGACAGTAGTGGACTCTCCTCCAAAACCTGTATGAGATGAGGTAAGGGCACAGGACTAGGAGGGGTCATGAGGGTGGAAGAAAAGAAGCCCCATTCCACCAACACCCCACTGGATATTCTCACCTTAGGGAGGGAGAGCAAATCTGAGCTCCTGGAAGGAGGGGACATTTTGATGGGATTCTTGGAGAAAGCACAACCAAGATCAAGCCTAGTGATGGTAGGAGGCCCCTGGCTTCCTTTTGCCCCCTCCCATCTCAGTGTCCCACTCTAGGACAGGTCTCTGGAGCTACCCATAGAGCCCTGGGAACAGGGATTTACCTTGATACCAGGGAGGAGGGTGGCTTCAGGCTGGATGCTATGGATGCAGCCCGATCCCTGTCTCTCCTCCCCCTCCTCCACTGTCTAGACTGGGAGTGGGAAGAAGGGACCAGGAAAAAGAGCTAAATCTCCTGAGGGCTAGGGATGGAAGGCAGAGCCCAGGGAGCCTGGGGTTGAGACAGATAGCTTTAGGGAGATCCTTCACTGAGCTAAAGCTGTCTTGGGAACCAGAAAGGAGGTTTGGGGTAAGAACAGCCCACAAGAAGGGCCCTATAGATGTTGCCTGTTCCACACCCAGTTGCTGCTTCTGGGAATTATGAGAAATGGTTAGGCAATTTGGATGGTACCAAAATGGGTAATGAGTCCTCTGCCTTGGTTTCTACTCCCCACTGGGATGCAGTAAACCACATGGTTTCAAAATCCCAGGTCTTCTACCTGCCTGTGGACATCAAGCATCATCTTAGAGCTGGCTCAGATCCTGAGCCTCCTGCAGAATGACTTTTGGGCCCAGTAATAAGGGGGAAGGAAGGGGAACCATGGGGGTTCCATCCATGAGATCCAGGCTCACCTCCTTTTTCCAATAATTCTGAGCCCCAGGCTGTCTTGTCTTAATCCTTGCCTCCTTGAACCGCTGGAAGGCAAACCTGTGTCTGTATCTGTGTGTGCAATGCACACATGCACGCATGACACATCTCATCTTCTCTCTGACCTGTCTGCTTTCTGGAGAGTCTCACAGACTCTCAGTGTCAACAAGGCTCTTGAGACCACTTGGCCCAACTCCCTCAATGACTAGAAGAGAAATGGGAGTGGCTATGCCCAAGATCATTCAGACCAGCCTGCTCTTCCCCATACCCCTGCCCCATCTGGCTCTTTCCCTTGCCTTTACCATCCACCCTGTCTTTTGCCCTCGTGCGCATGCGCTCTCTCTCTCTTCTCTCTCTCTCTCTCTCTCTCTCTTCTCTCTCTCTCTCTCGCTCTCTCTCGCTCTCTCTCTCTCTCCCTCCATCTCTCTCTCTCTCCCTCCCTCTCTCTCTCCCACCCTCTGTCTCCTCTCTCTCTCTTTCTCTCTCTCTGTCTCTCTCCCCCCTCCCCCCCTCTCTCTCATTTCAAGAGCCATTGGTCCCCTAATGATCTCAGGCCCCAGGCCTTCCCAGCTGTTCCCACAGATGGAGACATGGAAGCTGTGGGGAGGCAGCTTTGCACTCTGCCCCCTCTCCAAGTGCCCTGGATGAAAACCATAGCACCCCAAGCCCGACAGAGAGAAGCAGAACCCACAATGGCCCAGATTCCAGGTCTCCTCCCTCCTTCTGAATAAGAAGCTGATCCAGGACCTTAGAACTTCCCCTTTCAGAAAGCAGCAGCCTAGGAACCCGGACCAGCTGGTCAGCCCCCAGGGGCCTTCTCGTGCCTACATCCCAGCATCTTCCTGTTCTTCCTCCTCATCTTCCTTTTTCTTCTTCTATGTGCACTTCAAGTGGGCCTCCCTGTAGGCAGAACTTTCCGTACCTACTTGGCTTGGTTCTGAGCATAATAATCTGATTTGAGGGGAGCATTAAGACCCACCTGCCTGTTCTACCCTCTGGCAATAGTTTCAATATTCACTACTCACCATGTGCTCGGCCACTGGTCCCATCTAGATCCTGCCCTCACAATAATCTCTCTAGTGTGAGAAACTGACAAGTACCTGATACTCACACCCTATGTGGTCAGTACCATGATGGCAGAAAGCTCAGAGGCCATATGACAGTTAAAAAAAACAACAACAACAAAAACACATTTGACTCAGCTTAGGGAGATCAGGGAATTGGCCTAGAAGGGATCTTTGATATGGGTCATCAGGCAATTAGTTTTCCAACCTGATAAGTAAAGTCATCATTATAGAGGAAACAGCATGAGAAAAGGCATGGAAGCATGAAAGGACACAATATTTTGGAGAAAAAGTGGCAAGTTCAGTTCTATCATAGCAAAGGCTGGACCAATTTGTGAAAATGGGCAAAAAGAATCACAAAACCAAAACCGGTTTGGCTCAGTGGATAGAGCTTCGGCCTTCGGGCTGAAAGGTCCCGGGTTTGGTTCCAGCCAGGGGCACGTCCACAAGAGGGGATATGCAGGAAGCAGCTGATAGATGCTTCTAACTCTCTATTCCTCTCTGTAAAAAGTGAATAAAAATTAAAAAATAATTTAAAAATAGAATCACAAAGGTTGCCTAGCCTATGAACCAGGAGGTCATGGTTCAATTCCTGGTCAGGGTTTGTGGGCTTGATCCCCAGTGTGGGGCAGCTGATCAGTGACTCTTGACATTGCTATTTCTCTCTCCATCTCCCTTCTCTGTAATCAATAAGCCACAAAGGTTGGCGGAGGTCACTATTTCTGCTTGGTGAGTAGTAGTTGAATGAGTGAAGCATTTAGAGATGTAGGGTGTGCTAAAAAGCTCAGAAATGGGATTGAAAGCTTTTGTTGGTGGAATGACAAGACAAGAAGAATCAGTGTAGGGGAGGTGGTCCTGGAGGAGCAGTGAAGTGCGCTGAGCTTTAAAAGCAGAGTTGCTGGCGGCACCGCGGGACCACGGCGGCGGGTGATACCGCAGCGCCTCTGCTCTCACCCGCACTTCTGCCTTTTCAGAGCAGGCGCCCCTCCCTCCCCGACTCCCTCTCGCCCTCGCCCCTCCTCTCTTCTCCTCCTCCCCACTCCCTCCCTGACCTTGCCCGCCCCACTTCGCCCGCGCCGCCCCTCGTCCTCGGCATTCCCCGCATTCCCGCTCCCCGAGCCCCTGCGCGCCTGCCGCTGATGGTCAGGATGGAGATCCGGCAGCACGAGTGCTTCGCAGCCTCCCCCGACGAGGGCTTCGAGCAGATGGGGCTCAAGAGCCACCCCAGGAGTCCTCGTCATGCCTGACCCAGGTGGGCGCGAACTTTTACAGCAGTGTCAAGCAGCCCGCGTCTGGCTCCGCAGGAAGGACAAGCTGGAGCACTTCAAAGGCTACGGGACAAGAGAAAGTGACATGAATCGGTGCAGGATCGGAATGATTTCAACCCACCTGGAAATCTGATTCCCGTCATTCATTGGTTGCTAGATACTTAACAGGAGGAACACTCATTAAGAAATAAAAGCATGTGAGGGGAGGGGGGGAAGCAGAGTTGCAGAGGGGACCATCTACTGTGAGCAGAAGAGCAATAGAATTTTGAGGTGGAATGATGACAGGCTTATATGTTACATAGGACTGCAATGGTGGCCATAAGGCTGGAAACCTTGGACAGGCAGGCCTTGGATGCCAGAGGGACAGTATGTTCTGATAGAGCAGACCAAAGGAGCCATAGAAGTCCCCAGATCAGGGGAGACTGTGCTGCAGTGAGTGTAATATGTGTAAGGAACCTGCTCTCAAAAGCCTAGAAGGGAGAGGCTCAAGTAAGCTTCTCCTCTCCCTGCCAGCAGGCAGGAGCTGAGCAATTGCTTGTAGGACAGTCTGCAGCCTTCTCCTGAGTCCTGTACATGCCCCCTTAGGGTCCTGGAACTCTGAGGAGGCAGCCCCTTTTCCCCCAGCATGCTTGCCTGTGTGACCTACCTCAAAGTCCGAAGGAGAGTCGCTTCTCTTCACTGGGAAGTGGATGGTGTCTAGGAGGCGTAGAGCTGGGCCAGTATCTTCCCTCTGGGTGCCCAACTCCTCCCCTTTCAGCTTTTGGGGAGCTCCAATCTTATTAAAGGTGACTTCCCTCTCTCTAAGCTCTGATATGCTCATTTACCTTCCAGGTTTGCCTTTATGTCTCTGAAGGCTTTCTTTTCTGTCTCTTCTAGAGATGTAGCTGGGAGAGGGCTTCAAGCAGCCCAGAGGCCAAGAGTTTGCTTGAATACAAAAAGACTGGATACCACACAGATCTTGAACCCTGGACTGTGGAGAGAGAGGAGGCACAACTGTGTAAAATTCTGTCCCCAGCCGGGACCGGTTTGGCTCAGTGGATAGAGCGTTGGCCTGCGGACTGAAAAGTCCCGGGTTCGATTCCAGTCGAGGGCATGTACCTTGGTTGTGGGCACATCCCCACTTGGGGGTGTGCAAGAGTCAGCTGATCAATGATTCTCTCTCATTGATGTTTCTAACTCTCTATCCCTCTCTCTTCCTCTCTGTGAAAAATCAATAAAATATATATATTTTTAAAAATCTGTCCCCAAACTCACCAGAACAAATTCGGATAATCCAGCCAGCATCACCGTGAACTCTCTCTCCCAATTCCCTTCAGTCCCAGGGGTCACAGGAGCAGGCACATGGTGGAGAACTGTGAGGCAACACATGGAGCCAGAATTGGGTCTCCTCACTTTCTGTCTCCCTCCCTTTCCCAGTGTGAAGCTCTTCAGGCGGCTGCTGGGGCAGCAGGTTGGGGAGAAATAGGGATAGAGCCCAGGGCTGGATTTTTGCCCCTGGATGCAACTCTCTTGGGGTCGTAGGGAGCCAGGCTTCCAGGCTCCCAGGTTCCTGGGGCACATCTCACATAGCCCGTTTCCCTAAGGAGCGACCCTCTGCCCAAAGATCCCTGACCCGTTGTCAGCAGTGCGGGGCAGAGCTTGGAGTTGAAGGAGGCACGTAGGAGAGGCGGGAGTGCAGAGCAGGCACGTGGTCCAGCCTCCTCAGCCCCGTGCATGTCCCCCACCCCTCGGTGAGGAGCGGTTTGCGAGATGGGGGCGGGGCCGGGGATGGAGAGAGAGCAGCAGGCGGCTCAGAGAGTGGGGTGCTAGCCTGCAGCGGGAGCTGTCCGTGAGACCTAGTGCTGAAGTAGGCGCAGACGTGCCTGGTGCCCAGTGGCCGGGCCAGCGAAGGCCATGACATTCATGGTAAAAACCATGGTGGGCAGCCAGCTGAAGAACCTCACTGGAAGCCTGAGTGGCGGCGAAGAAAAGGGAGACGGGGACAAGTCCGCCGCCCAAGCACAGGGCATGAGCCAAGAGGAGTATGAGGAGTATCAGAAGCAACTGGTGGAAGAGAAGTGAGTGAGATCCCTTCCCACCTCCAAGTACCCTCTCCCACACCCCATCCTCCAGCTGTCCGGCCCACCTCTAGGGTAGTCTCAGATCCCAACCCCTTCCCCTACTTTTCTAGATAAGTCAGAGGCTGGGATGTGCACCTCTAGGTTACCCTCTGCCACCCCCAGCCACAGCCTTCCAAACCCAGGACCCCACCCCAGCTCACATTAGGTGCAGAGGAAGTGGGGGCAGGGGCGATAGGGGTCTGGGACCGGGTGGGGCACGTGTATTTCTGATGAAACAAGTAATCCTTTAATCCGATCTGGTCCCAATGTCTGGGTCTTCCAAATGGAGCTCTTCTGAGCCTGAGGTCTGAGAAAAGCAGTGCAGCTGAGGGGGGCTCAGAGTCAGGGAGACAGATCCTGAAATGGGGGCACTCGTAGATATTGAGTCCACTGATGTTTGGGCAATGCTGGAACAGAGAGACAGCTGGAGTGGAGTTAGGGCTAGACTCCAGAACTGATTGTGTCAGATCCTAGATTTGCTTCTTTATAGCTGAGTGATTTTAGGTAATTTACTTAACCTTTCTGTCCCTTGGTTTTCTCTTTTGTAAGTGTGGATGATAATTATAAAGCATGCCTTATTTTTATTAGGATTAAGTTACTTAATGTAAACCGCTTAGCACAGCACCTAGAACATGGTAAATCATTAACTGTTAGCTATAATTATTTCATCTGATAGCAGTTTTGTGAATTGAAAAATCTTATCCTCATTTTATAAGAGGAAGGTAAGTGACTTACTCAAAGACATATCCATAACAAAAGTGGTAATAGAGCCAGATATGAAACCAAGTCTGATTCAAGTACTCTCCCCCCCCACACACACACACACTCTCCAAGTAACCTGCCAGGAAGGGAAAAGACTTAATGAGTCCGAGGCTTAGAGGGACATATATTAGGCAGCCAGAACAACCTCCCTCCCATAGCTCTGTCCAGAGGCATGTGTGGAGACTAGAAAGGGCCCTGTGATGGGGGCTAGGCCATAAAGAGCAACAGGCAGTTGCCAGGTCCAAGCACCATTCTGACATACAGGCCCACGGGTGCCCATCTCTTTGGTGCTGGCTATGACTCTGTCCCTGCACCCCTGCAGGATGGAACGTGACACACAGTTCACACAGAGGAAGGCAGTGCGGGCCATGCTTCGGAGCCACTTCCGAGACAAATACCGGCTGCCCAAGGTAAGCTTTGGAGATGGAGCTTCAAGGCATATCCAGGCCCCTGAGCCCTGGGCCCTGGACTCCTTTGCCCCACTCTGGGAGCCATGGCTTTCAGCTCCTAACACTCATGGAAAGCTTGGTGGGATCATTTATTCTTTCACTCCTTCACTCCTTAAATGGAGCCCGCCTAAGCCTAGGATTTGGCAAGGAGGGATTGTCCAGTCCTCCAGAGACTGATAGGTTTGTGTTTCTGGAGCCAGTTCAGGCCCCTTCTGTCCTCCAACCTAACTCCCCCAATACAAGTCAGGCTCAAGCAGATGAAGAGTTGGAAGGCAATAGACTACCATGGGGGTGAGGCTCTTGAGGCTTCTGAACACCTGGGCAAGGTGGGATGGAGAGAGAAGGTAGCACTATCTGTGCTACCTTCACACCCTTACCTAACCCCTTAGTAATTCATCCAGGTAGCAATCACCCACATCTACAAATAAGGAAACTGAGACTCAGATAGATTAAAGGACTTGGCTAAGATCATACAATCAGTGAGTGATGGTGCCCAAGCTTGTGAATGCTGAGCCTTCTCCAGGCCCCTGGCTGCTTTCCAGAGTATGGGTCTGTCTGCAGAGAGCAAAGTAACTCCTTGGTTGGCCAAGCAGCCAGGATGTCTCCTCTATGCACTGCAGCACCAGATGGGCTGTAAGTGTTCTACTCCTATTCCCTAAGGAGAGAACTAAGGCACAAACTACTCCAAGTCCCCAGAACTATGATAGACTCTAAAGAAAAACAGAAATAGTGCTCAGTATACCGACCTTGATCTTCCAACTGA